GCTTTGGTCTCCCCATTGTGGTCACTACCCAAAGTACAGTGGTTTTGATCACCCCATTGTGGTCCACTACCCAGAGTACAGAGGCTTTGGTCTCCCCATTGTGGTCAACATTCAGAGTACATTGGCTTTAATTGGTCTCCCCATTGTGGGCCACTACCCAAAATACAGTGGTTTTGGTCTCCCTATTGTGGTCCACTACCCAGAGTACAGAGGCTTTGGTCTCCCCCATTGTGGTCAACATCCAGAGTACAGTGGCTTTGGTCTCCCCATTGTGGTCAACATCCAGAGTACAGTGGCTTTGGTCTCGCCATTGTGGTCCACTACCCAGAGTACAGTGCATTGGTCTCCCCATTGTGGTCAACATCCAGAGTACAGTGGCTTTGGTCTCCCCATTGTGGTCCACTACCCAAAGTACAGTGGTTTTGGTCATCTCATTGTGGTGCACTACCCAGAGTACAGTGCCTTTGGTCTCCCCATTGTGGTGCACTACCCAGAGTACAGTGCCTTTGGTCTCCCCATTGTGGTGCACTACCCAAAGTACAGTGGCTTCAGTCTCCCCATTGTGGTGCACTACCCAAAGTACAGTGGCTTTAGTCTCCCCATTGTGGTCCACTACCCAAAGTACAGTGGCTTTGGTCTCCCCATTGTGGTCCACTACCCAAAGTACAGTGGCTTTAGTCTCCCCATTGTGGTCCACTACCCAAAGTACAGTGGTTTTGGTCTCCCCATTGTGGTCCACTACCCAAAGTACAGTGGCTTTACTAAGTCTCCCCATTGTGGTCAACACCCAAAGTACAGTGGCTTTGGTCTCCTCATCGTGGTCCACTACCCAGCGTTCAGTAGCTTTAGTCTCCTCATTGTGATCCACTACCTAGAGTACAGAGGCTTTGGTCTCCCCATTGTGGTGCACTACCCAGAGTACAGTGGCTTTGGTCTCCTCATCGTGGTCCACTACCCAGCGTTCAGTGGCTTTGGTCTCCCCATTGTGGTCCACTACCCAAAGTACAGTGCCTTTAGTCTCCCCATTGTGGTCCACTACCCAG